ATGCAAAGTCCCATAAACTTTTATGTTCAACTAACATATTAAGAGGATTATTAAGGCCTATAAAATGTGGTACTCATAAACTAAAATTGTTTCATTAATGCTAAGGTTTTAAAATCAGTACAGTGCTAAGAAGTTTGATGTTCACAGAAATTAAGTAACATTCAATTAGTCATTCTTTGATTCAAGTGTCTCCCATGACAGTATTTGAGGCTCATATAATAAAACTCTTAGATCTGCACACAGATATTTGAAATTCTTGCAAATTGTAGAATGAACATTTTGTTAACATCACATCATCAGTAGTCTTGAGGAAGCTGTGGATGTTAATTTTTATTATTTCTTAATGATAAATTACTGTTGGCTTAGCTCTTTTACTAGCAATTTGGTTTGTTATTGATTAACTATATAGAAATTGTGATGAATATTTGCACCAGCTGATTTTATGCTACAGGTTTTCAATAATTAGGCTTGTATGGATGTGATTCAAGAAAGCCTTATTTTTACACCTATATTGTAAAAACAGATTTGTGTATAGCAGGTCTCAACCTAAAATTACCCATTCAGTAACTTTTAATCCTTTTCAGCTAGTTATTTTACACAGAAATGGGGGAATTGTTATGGGAAAAGATCTTGGGGTCTGTTGCTCCACCTTAAAGTAGGCCTTGCTCAGAAAAATGCAATTACTGTCAAAACGTCTCAATGAGTTTAAGCTCAGTCACTTGTGACACATCTGCATAACTGAACACATCTTTTGTTCTTTGTTGTATATATTTTATAAATATGCTCATTGATGATAATTACTGTTTTAATAATTTTGATGGATTTTTGACATGAATGAAATACCAGATGTCATAGATAAAACAAAAAATTTAAGAAATGTGAAATGTTAAAAAAAAATCCTGATGCTTCAATAGTGTCCTATTGAACCTCACTATCAGGATTTAAGAATTATTAATGTGGGGTAGAATTTCAGGGAAAAATTGTTAACAATAAAATCATAGAATCAAGAACTATAGCTTAGAGTTAATGGTTTTATAGACAACTCAAAGTCCCCTGAAATTTTTATTATCAGTGCTATCCAATAGTAAGACGAGTTAAGCTGATGCACATAGGTGCCTGAGGGATTAGATTATCTTCAATTCATTTTTAGGAAGCTACAATAACAAAATGTATTTCAGGAGAAATTAATTTAAACAACGTTGGTTAATCCTCCTGTATTAAATCAAATCAAGTCATACCATCAACATTTCTGATTCAATGACACAGAGACGCACAAAAGGGAAGGCAAAAGACATGCTGTGAAGTGATAAATCAGTAATATGGCTGTGAATTGATAAGGTTTACAACAGTGGCTTCCTGCTCTGCAGTAATGCACTAAAAGTTTTATCTTTTGAGTTCTACTTGATTCTCATTCCTTGTTTTATTTATCTTAAGAAGAGTAGGTACAAATATTAAAAGTGACCACATAATGGAAAATTCAATTAATTAAAGATACCTTTCCAGGTCACTCCCAATATTTCACTGACAAATTCTCCAAAAATATCTGATGGTTCATGTTTCCCAACTACCACTTACCTCGTATTACAAAACCAAATGTATTGCCTTCCTTATGTAACGTGACCTCCACCGTTCGGAAAATAACGCTTGATCCTTGTACAGCTGAAAGAGAGAGAAATGTAAGTTGCAAGTAACAATAAGATTTCTGAAATTTTCAATAAAATATTACAAATTTCTCTTGCAAATACTTTTTGTTTGTAGTAAGAAAATAATAATTTCTGTTTACGGAAAATGTTAGAAAATGTCATTGTAATGACATACAAGTAGTACAGAGTAGTTCATCTGCATATAAATGAGTCTTATGGGTCCAAGTGGAAGCTACCTAATAGTTCCTTTTTTCTGTGTAGGAAGTTTCTAGATAGAGGGTGATATTTGCAATGTTTCAACTCCATTCAACAAGAGACAAAGTCTTTGATAAGTATAATTACCTTTTGTGAAACCCCAAGGCAATATGATTTTTGTAAAACTTTATAAATAATTTGTGTATTTATTTTTAAAATTTGCAACTGGTAAGGAGAAAGTATCATTCTCAGATAGCTATCATTAGATCAGGCTGATGCAAATAGATGCTTTGACATAAAAATAGTTGTTAGACAAGGGCAACCTAAATGAAAGTTAGAGAGAAAAAGAAATTCAAAATATATACAAAATATTACTAACTAGGAAAATAAAGGCCTCCTTGTTATCTTTATACAATCATGCTTACATTGTTTGCTTGTATGCTGCTCTTATTTCACAAAATTAAACTGTATCACCAAGTTGTAATCTCTGATTATACTGCACAAATCTATGAGGGTACAAGTTGTATGAAGGTAAGTCACTAAAATATTCTGTAAGACTGCTTCTGAGAAACTGGTGAATAATTCCGGTTGTATAGCATACTACTGCTGAAGTAAAAGACAATATTGTCATAAATCAGTATTATATTTTTATGAACACAGAGAGCTTTTTGTAAATATTTATTTATTTACTTGAAAGGCAGAATTACAGAGAAGAGAGATCTTTTTTATGCTGGTTCTTTCCCTAAATGGCCAGTGCTGAAGTGAAGAGCATCCAGGTCTCTCCCATGGGTGATAGGGGCGGAGGTACTTGGGCCATCGTCTGCTGCATTTCCAGGCACATTACCAGGGAGCTAGATTGGAAGTGGAGAAGCTGGGACTCAAAACAGTGCCCTTATAGGACACTGTATTAACCCAATCAGGCACAATGCTGGCCACACAGTGAGATTTTTATTCACAGAGACAGAAAAGCTTACGATATGCAGAAGTAAACAGCTTTAGATCCCTGATTGGAATTTATATAATGCTATCTATCTACTGTCCTGCTCATTGTGAATAACATATTTTATACTGTTACTAGATGTGGGTTTACTATATAAAGCTATACAAGAAATACACAGTCCCTGACTTAAGATGGTTCAGCTTAAGATTTTTCAACTTTATAATGGTGTGAAAGTATACTCACACAACCATTCTTTCATTTTTCTGTATAGTATTCAATATATTACTTGAAATATTCAGCAATATATTATAAAATAGGCTTTGTGGAAAACTATTTTGCTCAGTCATTGGCTTAACTGTTTTGAGCACAATGAAGGTAGGCAAGGCTAACCTATGTTAGAAAGATTAGGTGGGTTAGGTATTTTCAGTTTATAGTATTTTAAATATATGATGAGTTTAGTGAATTGTAACTCTATGATAAGCCAAGGAACATTTTTATATAGATAGGACTTAAAGGCATCTTTTAAATTATGTTTCTTGCCATTTACAGAAATAGCAAGTGATTTTAATTAATTATGAATTACAATTATATTTGATTGTCAGAAATTGTGGACCTTCAAAAGAGTGCTGCAGACAGGATTATGAAAACTCCACATTTAAACTGACAAAATGGCACACTATCTGGCTGGGACATAAAGTATCACAAGAACTTGGACCTGCAGGAAAACAAACAAACAAAAAAACCCTACAGCTGAACAAACCACTGATTTAATTAAATGTCATATTCTTGGTATCAGGGGAATTTCACTTCGTTGTAATCAACTAGGAACAGTACATATAAACAGCCGAAAGAGTTGATGTACAGTTTTAATTAAATTAAAGAAAACTGAGTTAAAACCAAATGTTTTCTAATTTCCATGACCCAGAAAGCCACTGGAATAAATTGGTTCAGAACATGATCTTTTATTCTACCATTAAGTGACGAAAGAAAATGATACGGGAAGAAATAACTAATGAGCATTTACTCTGTGCCCAGAACTCTCTAAAGTGGTTTGCAAAAATTATTTTGTTTAATCATTAAATCAACTTTCAATTATATACAACCAAATGCTAATTCTGGACCACCTGTCATTGTTGGCTGGGTATCTGTTCTGGGAATGCAAAGTACTATAATTTTAATTTTGCTTTAGCTGACCACAAAATCTTACAATCAAATCTAAAGTCCATGTAAAGATTTTTGGAATTATCTACAGCTTTAGATCGCCCACACTACTGCTTTCCATACCTTCAAAGATAAATGTGAATGTTGTCTATATTTTAATGTAATTAATGAGTAAATTAGATCTTTATAGTTTTTATTTGCCATGATTGGCTCTTGGTGACGGGGTTTTCACCCTCAGTACCAGACATCTTGCATTGCCACATGAATTTTACTCACTGCTTCACACATATGTATGGATATGAAAAGATCCAATTAAGGGGCTTACCTGAAGAGTCAAAGCGCTAGGAAGAAACACATTTCACAGTGCAAAGACACTTTTCTTCTGTATTTTGGTTGTATTCTTGCTTGTTTCTATATGTGAATATGCGTGCACTCCTATGCAGTTCTTTTATTGTGGTAGATCAGATTTTTCTAAATTGTGTGCTCCTTCTCTACTTCCTGACCTCCTACCTCAACAGGAAAACAGGACTTATGTACTTTGCCACCTCATTATGTTGCTCCTGCCCATGTGACTTGCTTTTGCCATTGGGAGGTTAAGAGATGAAAGTCAAGGCTGGTAACAGCTTCTTGTGGATGGTCTTGTTCTCTTTCTTCCTGTGCCAGTGCTTTCTCAGAGAAACTGTTGCTCCTTTAGACTCAATTGCACAATAAGCCTCATGGAGGAAATTTCAGACTTTCCCCTCCATCAACATCCCCACCACCACCACCACCATTATCATCATCATCGTCGTCATCCTCCTGTATCCTCTATGTATCTCAGAATTGAGAAGGAAGAAGGCTGGCTCAGTGACATGCTGGAACATGTTTGAGTTAAAAAAAAGCACTTTTCGATAGAATGACAGTCCATTTTACTAACAGTTTAACAATGCAGACTGCCTTTGCCAATTAGATCATATGGCAGACATTTTTTATTAAATGAGACAAATCTGTAGCCCCAAAGTTTGAATGGAAAAGTATTTAAAGACATGTAAAATGAGCAACTTGCCAGGAATCATACACTTTCCAAATATTTAAGGCTTACAGAGGGACTTTTATGCGTTAACTGAAAATGGATGAAAACTATATAACATTTCAAGATTCTTTAGGGATTATGTGGCACAAGTTACATCTCTAGACCAACTTTTTTTTTTTATTTTTTATGGATTACAATGGCTCCCCACCATACCGTCCCTCCCACCCACAACCCTCCCCTTTCCCACTCCCTCTCCCCTTCCATTCACATCAAGATTCATTTTCGATTATCTTAATATACAGAAGATCAGCTTAGTATACATTAAGTAAGGATTTCAACAGTTTGCTCCCACACAGAAACATAAAGTGAAAAATAATAGATGATTTTTTTAATGATGATGAAATCAGAGCAGACCTATTGTCATGTTTAATCCCAGTGAGAGTCAAGTTGGGAGTTGATAATTTCTTTTTTTTTTTAATTTTTTTTATTTTTTTTACAGAGGATCAGTTTAGTATGCATTAAGTAAAGATTTCAACAGTTTGCACCCCCATAGAAACACAAAGTGAAATATATTGTTTGAGTACTCGTTATAGCATTAAATCTCAATGTACAGCACATTAAGGACAGAGATCCTACATGAGGAGTAAGTGCACAGTGACTCCTGTTGTTGACTTTACCAATTAACACTCCTGTCTATGGCATCAGTAATCTCCCTATGCTCCAGTCATGAGTTTCCAAGGCTATGGAAGCCCTCTGAGTTCTCCGACTCTTATCTTGTTTAGACAAGGTCATAGTCAAAGTGGAGGTTCTCTCCTCCCTTCAGAGAAAGGTACGTCCTTCTTTGAAGACCTGTTCTTTCCACTGGGATCTCACTCACAGAGATCTTTTGCCAGAGTGTCTTGGCTTTCCATGCCTGAAATACTCTCATGGGCTTTTCAGCCAGATCCGAATGCCTTTAGGGCTGATTCTGAGGCCAGAGTGCTATTTAGGACATCTGCCATTCTGAGTCTGCTGAGTATCTCACTTCCCATGTTGGATCACTCTCCCCTTTATTTATTCTATCGGTTAGTGTTAGCAGGTACTAGACTTGTTTATGTGCTCCCTTTGACTCTTAGTCCTTTCATTATGATCAATTGTGAACTGAAATTGATCACTTGGAATAGACCAACTTTTAATAAATAAATACCTAAGAAACAGTTCACAAATATTTCATCTAATAAAGTCTCAAAACATTTGTTAAAGTCAAAAAGAACTTTAAAGTTCATATAGAGAAGTCCTTTCATTTTCATAAAGAAACTGAACCTCAGAAATCACAAATAGCTTGCTAAAGGAGAAACTTCAATCTTTCCTCTATCAGATCACACCCACACACACACACACACACACTCTTTCTCCAGTTCTTTTGGAACTCTGGGGTTGGCTAAGCTGTGACCTTGAGAGCCCACAGTCTTGGCCTTGGGCAGCTTAGCTTCTGGCAGTCAGTTCTTGCTGAGGCTCAACTGCGGGAGGGAGATGGGGCAGGAGGTGTCCCTGTGTTCCCACTGTCTGAGCCAAGTGAACGGAGAGCTTATTAATCTTTTCAATCTCTGTGAACTCAAAAATCTTATTAATTTCTCCAAATGTAATAGAAAGAGACAGACATCATCCTTGGAGAATACACCTCTTCTATCTCATTTCCAGCAGAAAAAAAATGGATATTTTTGCATTT